AGTATGTAGTAGAGATTGACCAGGCTTTGTGGAAGAAATTATTTGGAGCCACCTCTTTTTTATATAAACATTGATTGACTGATTGAATGATTGATTGACTTGAATGAAAGAAGGAAATACATAGAAAGATCTTCCATCTGCTGGTTTACTCCCAAATGATCACAACATCCAACTCTGAGCCAGGCAGAAGCCAAGAGTCAGAAACTCCATCCTGGTCTCCAGGGGGGTAGCAGGGGGTCCAAACACTTAGATCATCCTCAGCTGCCTTTCTACGTGCATTAAAAGGGAACTGGATCAGATGTGGGAGCTGGATCTTACACACTTTTGTCATCTAATCACAGAAAGTAGGGTCTTCATCTTCCATCCTGGCCACAAATGAAACAGCTAACTATAATCTGAGGGCGCCATCATTTTGGGTTTACAGTGATAATACTTCCACTTATTTGGAGTTTTTCACTATCCTCGAGAACCAAATTGTATTCTCTGATGTTTCTCAGCAGCATATGCTCAAGCAGCCTCAGAATGGGGCCCAGTGAAAGTGAAGGACAACTGCTTGCAGCATCATCCACAGCCAGCACCAGAGCAAGAACAGAAAGAACTAGAAATGCCGGCCTCATCCAGTGCTCTGAGAACTGAAGAAACCTGACTGCAGCCCCTTCCCACCAAAGAGGATGCTGTTTACCTGTACTGGAAAGCTACCCCGTGTGTATACCAAAGTGAAGTTTTCCACAGTGTGCAACACGTCAGAATTACTGATACCTGCTGCAGTGTTAGCACCAGGAGAGACTGGCATATTTCCTTAACCCAATACCAAACCCTCCCCAGACCACCTGAAAGTCAGCTGACTTAGAATAGGACAAGCTGAAGAAATAAAGAGGGCAATAAGAAGTGTTTCACCTTCATGAAAGAGAGGAGAAAGAATTTCATGTTAAAAGTTTTTGGAATAAGAATTTCTCCTTTTTATTATATGTAGTTATTATGTATCTGATAATTTAGCACCATCCTTAGTGGGTGTATATGTCCATGGCTTCGGTCATAAGTAGCAGATAAATTATAATTAAAAGCTAGTTTAGGGGTAGACGTTTTGGCATAGCAGGTTAACGGCCACTTGGTCAGCTGCATCTCATGTGTGAGCACCTGTTTAGGTTCCCAGCTCTTCTGCTTCCGACCCAGCTTCCTACCAATGCACCTGAGAAAGGAGTAAAAGATGGCCCAAGATTTCAGCCCCTGCCACCAGCATGAAGAGACCGGTATATAATTTCTTACTCCTTGCTTCAGCTTGTCCCTACTTCTTGGGTCTCATTCTTTTACTTGCTCTCACTTTGCCTTTCAAACAAACAAAATGAAAATAAGCACCAAAAAAAGCAGCTTAAAATCTATTTTATATCAAGTTAACAAACTATGTGAAATGCAAAGAAAATGTATACTGATTTGACGGTACATAGTAAAAGCAACTGCTAATAATAATTTATTCTGTGGCAGGCACCCATCTAAGCTTATATAGGGACGTATATTTATCTTACATATCATATGCATTATATATCTTATATACACATTTAGATATATAAGCTTATATAGACCTCATGTATATATCTTATATAGAGCTTATATATATCTAATCTTATACAGAGACTCATTGAATCCTTATAACAACATTGGTATTCTCCTTGTTTTAGGGATCTGGAAACTAATGTGCAAGGATGCTAATGCATCGAAGGTTGCACAGGTAGCAAGTGATGGAAGTGAGACTTGATTGGAAGCAATCTTGCACCAAGATCCATGCTGATCTCTTACTTAACCTAAAGATGCTGTGAACACATAGAAAAACTTGATTACTTTGAAGAGCAACAAAATAAGAATCTGTATGCTTAGATTAATCTTACTTAAAGTACTCTCCCCCTATACCCTTCCTGTAATAGCAAGGGAGATTTAGATTCAAAGAGAGTCAGCTAATCTAGGCAGTGAGTCCCAAGTGCCTAGAACCACCACGAGAAACACTGGAAATGAAGCAGAAAAGACAAGCAAGCCACAAGTCTTTGAAGGATAAACCCCTTACGCATTCTAACAAAATGCTACTCACCAGTTCAGAACACCAATGGCCCGCAAGTGTAGCAGCAGAAACAGCGCCCCCCTGAGGCGGGGGAAGCACAGGGACCACTGGACAGTCTGTGAAGAGACAGGCAGGTCAAGGTCATAGGTAGGTGCTACTAACAGCTTCCAGGGAACCATGGAGGCTGCCTTCTGGAGGATGGCAGTAAGTGGCTCCAGTTTTGAAAGAGTTTGGACACCTTTAGTTCCTAAAGAACTGCCTTCTTCTTTCATTGTTTCTCCCAACAGCTCAGGACTCCACTTCCATTTGAAAAAATAAGATTGTTATTGGTCCCAGGGTACAGAGGAAATCTTTGAAACGCCAACACAAGATGGATACTGAATTTCAAGTTTTTCAAAATTGCTATAATCACCCCATCATTGTCCACAGATGCATTTCTTTAAACTATGTTTGTCTTTTTTACAAACTAAGCACTCTACTGAGCTCTAAGGTAGGGGGAAGCAGAGAAGAAGAGAATATTGTTTAAGAAAGTCTTACGATGTGATAGAGACTATGGACAAACAATGTAAGGGAAAAATGTGGAGCATACTACTAGCCAACCTCCAAAGTCCAAGAAGATGCTACCACACAGACATAAAAAGGAGAGCTGTCATAACAATCTTGCTTTCCACTTGAAGTCAACAGCATCTTGTCCGGTCGGAGAGCCAAGTCATGGGTAAGCAAAAGGAGCTGGGAAATGCACCTGAGTTGTGAAATGCCTGCCTGGGACCAGGAGGCAGAGCAGTCTTCGTCCCTGTTGTCCTATGGAAGAGAGCTTTGTGCAGGTGTTAGAACCCACTGAAGACACAGTGCCTTTTTGTTTCTAGCTCAAATGTTCTGATGGTTGGAAATAAGAAGGAAAGCCATTATACTTTTTCTCTGTCCTCACCCCTGTCCTTGGTGGAGGGTGTTGGAAAAAGAATTCATTACTGTAGTCATTGCCCCTTGTAAGATACGTAGCAGGGCAGGCCTTGGCAGGGAAGAGTCTCTCAATAAGCACTGTTCTACATTTCATATGGCAGGGTCTGTACATCCTAAGACAACCACTTTGTCCCCAGAGTGAGGAGGACCCCAGTCCCTCCCATACCAGGGTAAATGCCTGCCTGCCTCTCCATCTTCAACTCTCAGAAATCAGGACGAACAGAAGGGAGGTTTCAGGAAATCATGGGAAGGGGAAATAGCTCCCATACTGCCAGCAAAGGAGGAAAGAAAGGAAGAGTCGCAGTGCTGAGCAGGCTCTGTGCTTACTGAGTGTGAAGAATTCTCTGACAGCTTCTGATTGAACAAAGGTACCCCAGAGAATGTAGCCATGGCTGGAACTTGCTATGGCAAAAGGATTTCAGAACATTCAATGGACTCACCTGTTCCTTGCACCATGGTTTCTGCTTGGTGCGAATCTATTATAAAACCACCTGAGTATATCATTCTTCTAAACTCAGAGGTGATTACAAGAGGCACTTGGCTAATATGCTGAATCACATGTGCCCCATGGGCTATAGAATGTGCTGCCACTCAACTGCACATTTACTGCTCAAGGATTGATTTCATGGACAAGGGAAATAGTATTCCCACTAGCAATTCCAGGCACTTGCAGGTAGGAAAACTTGTAAGAGACAAACAAGGTCATTTGTAAGTATTGCAAAGTGCTAGTGATAGTCTACCCAGGTGGTAACCATAGTTTTTTTTAGACACTTGGGAATTCTTTTGTCCCATTTGTAGATGTATTTAATATTCACAGATATGCAAGGGATAAGAATAGAAGCATAATTTTGTGTTTTTTTGAGGGCGTCATTTTTCTAGTTACATACTTTTGTTCACTCAACCAGATGTTATCAGGCATTGTGTGAATTAAGGATTATTCTAGACATTGAACGCAAGAAAATGAATGAGAACTGATGTCTTCTTTTAACTTAGAGTCTCATTGACTTTGTACAAACAGAAGTTTGAACAGCACATGAACACTTCCAATAATAAGAATTCAGGCTTTTTATCATTTGATGTTCATATTAAGTCTGGGGTACAGGTAAGTGAACATGACATGACGCTGAACATCAGCCAAAAACCACTAGGAACACACCTATAGTGAATAACAGGTCATTCCCTATAGAATTGGGGGAGCTACAATTCTTTTTTTTTTTATCTTTTCTTTTTTTCATTTTTTTATTGCATTTAATTTTATAATGTTTCACAGGCTCTGATGTTCCCCCTTTCCCTCCCCTTGCCCTCCCCCCATGGTGGATTGCTCCACCTTATTGCAGTATTGCAGTTCAAATCTAGTCTTGTTTCTTTCAATGCAAGCATGTGCCTTGCATAGCCCAGTATCTTATTGCCCAGCTGAATTCAACAGTTTCTTGAGGAGACCAACTCTGGTCTGGAGACATGGGAGCTACAATTCTTTATAGGATGGGCTTGGCAGCAGTAACCTTGGGAGTTGATGGAATTTTCTTCTGCGTTGTACTCAGAACGGAGGGATGCCACAGAGTCAATGTTCGATCATGTCTGTGGTCTAATCTAGGAGGGAGCGCAAGGTTTTGAAGGACATGGTAGTAAGAGTCAAAGCTTAACTAAGCTTGTGATGGACATCATGATTCTGGTTTGGTACAAGTTATTTATTTTGAATGATCATGGTGAGCCTCTTTTGAAAAATTGTAGTTTCTACTTTTCATGAACCGTCAGTTCCCTCAAGCCTAGCTGTCAGTTGACTCTTCTCCTCTGATCACCTTGTTGCAAATGTTATTTTTTTTTGTCCATAATCAAAACTTTATTGAAAACCGACATCAAAATAGGGGATAACTTGAATATCTTATAAAGTCAAACAAAATTCCATTATCTTAGTAGATTCACCAGAATATCTGAACTTATGATAAGGCTTTCCATGAGAAAATGCAAATCCAGGGATTTGCATGGGTCACTAATGTTGTGTTCTTCTAAAGGAACGGCCTTCTAGAAGCCAGGTCTTCTCTCCCAAGGGCTGGCACAGCTCAGTGGAGCAGCCCACACAGCGAACCACTGTCTGGGCAAGGCTGAACACCAAGGTGATCTTGTAGCAACCTGGACATTTTACATCCATAAAGCAAGAGTTTGGACTCTGAACCAGCCATTTCTTTTTCTTTTTTTTTATGAATTATTTTTATTATTTTTTATTGGAAAGGCAGATATACAGAGAGGAGAGACAGAGAGGAAGATCTTCTGTCCGATGATTCACTCCCCAAGTGAGCACAACGGCCGATGCTATGCTGATCCGAAGCTAGGAGCCTTTTCTGGGTCTCCCACACCGGTGCAGGGTCCCAAAGCTTTGGGCTGTCCTCGACTGCTTTCCCGGGCCACAGGCAGGGAGCTGGAAGGGAAGCGGGGCTGCCAGGATAGAACCGGCGCCCATATGGGATCCTGGGCGTACAAGGCGAGGACCTTTAACCACTGCGCCATCGTGCCAGGCCCCAGCCATTTCTTTTTATGCTTCTTCTTTTCCTCCTCCAAGCAGGGGTGTAGCAAATCTCTGGCCAGAGGTATGTTGGCAGCCCACGAGCCCAGTGCGGATGAATGGCTCCCATGGTTCTGCTCAGCGATAACATGTGAATGCCAGTTAATGTTATTTTAATCTTACAAGGGAAGATACCAAGAAACAGCACTTACCACAGCATGGGTGCTGCTTCATATCCCGACTGTTCCACTTCCCTTCCAGCTCCCTTGTAGCCTGGAAAAGCAGTCCAGGATGGCCCAAAGCCTTGGGACCCTGGACCTGTGTGGGAGACCCAGAAGTTCCAGCCATTGTGGTCACTTAGGGAGTGAACCAGCAGGAGGGAGATCTTTCTTTGTGTATCTCCTTCTCTCTGTAAATCTGCCTTTCCAATAAAAAATCTTCAAAAATGACAGTAGTTTTAGTATCTCATTCATAAAAATATGTGCAAATTAAATCAAGTGATATATCTAAAGCGCTTAGGGAGGTATTTGACATATAGAAAATCCCCAACTAAAAAACCACATGTCTCTTATCTGTAGGGTCCAGTACCATACTAACAGATTGACAATTAAGGTATAACGCAGTGCTTTTCAAATTTTGCTTTGTATACAAATAATCTGGAGAGCTTATTAAAATGCTGGTTCTAATTCTGTGGGTTTCAAATTCTGCATTTGTAAGGAGCTCCTGGGTGGCACCTGCTGGGGCCAGACATTGAACAGCCTGTAATTCTCAGTATGTGGTCTTCAGACCAGCAGGTTCAGTGTTACTAGGAAAGTTGTCGAAATGCAAATTTTGCCCATTCCCTCCCCATCACCCTTACTCCCTGTATCCTCTGAAATAGGATTTTAATAATGCTTACGTTTTAATAATCTCTTCATGTGATTCTCCTGTACTTCCTGATGTTTAAGAACCAAATGGCAGGGAGAAAAGAACAGACTGAAGTCCAAAATCTTGGATATTATCACACAGTGGCCATTTAACAGCTGTGTGACCTTGGACAAGTCACTTCATCTGTCTTAGCACTGAGTCCCTAATTATTTAATTCTTCTAGCCCCCACCCCCCAAAATGGAGTTGTTTCATCTTTTTGGGTTCCAATTACACTGCTTCTTTACTTCTACATTATGCTTACCTTGCTTAAAAGTTTTTGTAAGATTTATTTATTTTTATTAGAAAGACAGATACATAGAGAGGAAGAGAGAGAAAGGAAGTTATTCTGTCTGTTGATTGATTCACTCCCCAAGCAGCCACAATGGCCAGAGCTGAGCTCATCTGAAACCAGGAACCAGAGCCTCCTCCAGGCCTCCCACAGGGATGTTGGGTCCCAAAGCTTTGGGCCGTCCTGGACTGCTTTTCTAGATCGCAAGCAGGGAGCTGGAAGGCAAGCATTGTCACTGAGATATGAACTGGCGCCCATGTGGGATCCTAGCACGTGCAAGGTGAGGACTTTAGCTGCTAGGCTACAGCACTGGGTCCATCCTTGCTTAAAAGCTTTTTGTATGGTTCTAATGAGGTTAAGGAATGCTTGAAATATATTTGATCAGCAATTTAGTGAAGACGTGAATTACACGTATAACTAATACACATTTGGACATCCTAGCATTTACTTTGCAGAAAGTATCCAAGGTGTTAGATAGCAAGGCATATGTTAATTTAGAGCACAAAGGGCGATCCTCGGTCCAGTAACACTGTGCTGACCTAGTCCTGGGGGGAATATGAATATCACTACTGTCAGAAAGCCTTCCACCCAGCATTACCCAAGGGGGTGGGGATGGAGGATAAATTGTGAGCTCACACCCATATCTGTGAGAATTCCAGTCTGAATGCAGACTGGGCTCTCAGTTCCTTCCCGAGATGCCCACCTACTCCGTCAGGTGTGTCTTTTCATGAAACTCTGCTACCTTGCTTTGCACTTGTCTACGTCTTACATCTGAGCTTCTTTCTTGCAGGAAGTGTGGGATCTCCAATCAGCCGTCTCCTGTAACACATTTGGAGGAGAGAAGGAGGAGCCACCTCACCCTGAGCAACACTCCCACGTCTAGCCTACTTCTCCTATCCTTCCTCCTGCCTTGTTTAGCAGATCCAAAGCTGCATGGATTGAGAAGTGAAATGCTATTATGATGCCTGCTACCAAAGTCTCGTGTGAGCAGATAAGCCAGAAGTCAAACACAGAAGGAGACATCATTAGGCATCTGACAGCATCAAGAAAGTGTTCACTCTGCATAGGTTTATTGAAATGACACATCTCCCCAAGCCCTGGAGTCAGATCTGTGACAACATTTTGTGGAGACTTAGGCTTGCCTGCTCTTTCCTTTAAAATAGACACCTTGGCCTTTCCCTGCTCTGTCTTCTGGCCAAAATCTCCTTGCTGCACACATGCAGGCATGAGCCAAGCAGTTAATGTCATGTCATGTCATGCCAGTCATGTCAAGAGCATCTTCTCAGAGACCCAAACCAACTTACTCTCTTTTGAACTCCCCACTTGGGCTCCCTTGACCATCCTTGGCCTGACATGACCAGTGTCTGTTTTTTACCGCCTCTGGTTTGTCTCAAATGTTGTGGTCTCAGTTGGCCCTCCCTACTGAAACATGCTATATGCTCCTACCTCCTTTGCCACCATTTTGAAAAAAACGTCTGGCAAGAACCAGTCTTGAAATGACTGCATCTTAAATTGTATTTGCCACCAACCAGATCTACTCCAAGGATATGTTTCCACTAGACTAGCAAGGTAAGGCCTCCTGTCTTTCCTGACCCAAAAGGTTTCCATTTTCTTACTAGATAAACTGTGGAAGGTCCTTTGTCCATCAATGTAAGATCTTTTTGTTCTGTAGTTGGGACTGATACATGCCTTGCTAAATTCAGAACTCTCTGGGCACTGGAGTTCTGGCCAGAACTCACTGGAACCCAATATAGAAATCATGGCCTGGAAGGATAAAAGTTTGTGAAACCTTGCTGTGCTTTCTAAGATGCTGTGAACTCAAGGGTTTTTATTGGGATCATGGCTGCCTTTAAGCCTTCTGTCTTCTACAGCTGTGATCCTTTGAAAATATGGGCAGTTAGTTTATTGATGCAAGGTCTTCTAATGAAACATCAGTTGGGTCTAGACTTAAGCAGTTTGTATTAGAGAATAAAGATTTTCTTGAGGTTTTCAGAGTTCACAACTTCGATGAGGTATACTTATGTAGACAAGGATGTTTCAAAGCTACCTGCTTCTTACTTAATTCCTCCAAAATTAGAAAATAACTCAGAGTTAAAATTGTGCATATTCTTTTAAAGGATGTTTTTCTCTTAAGTCAGAGGTGTTAGAAGACTGTTTCAGGATGTGATTTGGAAGAACCAGTAGGCAGGAAAGAAGGTTGTGGAGGAAGTTATGAGAATGTATTCTTGGTGACAAAGGTTAAGAAAGAATTTTCTGATAGAGGAACTGAAGCAATAAGTATGCTGCAAAAAGATTCATGGAAATGGAATGCTGCTTGAGATTAGGTTGAATGAGATGAGAAAGAAAGGGGAAATTATTTTAAAATTAGCTACTGTATTTTTAAAACCCAGATAACAGGATTAGATGGATTTCTTTGTTACCTGACATATTTAACTGCCGTAAGTAATGGAATCGCATATTGATGTCACATGCTAATCCTTTTACTCAAGGTCTTCCTCAGTTTTTGTCATAGAGCTGATAATAAGAAGTTTATGTACCTTAAGACGTGTTCTGTGTCTGCTGTTTTCAGCCTGGAGTGTTGATTGCTGATGGAGCTGATTTTTAAATGTGTCAGCACTATCTGCCTATGCAAAATGTCTGAGTGATCTCATCTGACTAGACCTAGTCCACTCTTTGATTGAAATATCAATAAATGAATTATAATTCTTTTATTTTGAAGCAAATGGCTTGAGCTACTTTAAATTATTTAAAATCCTGCACCGAGTCTTTTGACATTGAAACTTCCAATTGGATCCCTGAAAATCTCAAAGCATGGGACTTTCCAGCTGGAGAGAGAGTAGCTGTTTGAGTTCATTTGGGTTATGCGCTGTTAGGTTATAAAATTAGACCAGACTTACGTGAAGGCTTGATTTATGTGCTAGGATTCCTCACTGCACATAATCATCTTCAACTGATGATACACAATTCCAGAATGGCTTTCTTCCCCAAGCTTTGTACCAAACAGAACTTGTCTTGTACGTTCTGTTGGCTGCAGGTTGTATGTGTGTTCTCTGTCTCTAGCATCTGGTCAGGTCGGATCTGAGAAAAGAAGCTGGCTGTTGTCTTCTTCTGCAATCCCATCTTTGTTTGCAACCGTTCCTCTGCCCACTTCAGGTACTTAGCACATCCTGGTACTCAGGGTTAAGATGCTTCAGAGATAGGGAATGTCACTCATCTGATTAGGTGGCTAGTGATGCACCATGAGGAGTTTCTACAAGAGCTGAACACCCATGACAGGAACAGAAAGTTCTGTCAGTCGTGCAGAAGTTTCTCTGCCTGGCAGCCTTGAAGGACTGAAGAGCCAACAACTGCTTTTGCTCTCCACAAGTGGGGGGTTCAAACAAGGAAGCTGTTTCAAAAAACAGGGACTGACAATGTGTCAGGTAAACTAAACGTTGAATAATCAGATACTTCTAGATCAAAATATGGGTCAAAAGCAGGGGTTGGGAGGGAGTACATATAAATGGAGGAAAGGTTTCAAAAAGAGATTTAGAGGAGACCAGAACTGTGCTATGCAATGAATACTAATACCACATAAGTTCAAAAATTCAGAAATTGATGCTATGTGGTGAACTCTAGTATTTCAAAAAAATTTCCCAGGTCATGTGGTGAGGACTGGTCAAACCCATAATCCATGGGCTAGAAACCCATAATTCATGGGCTCTACAGTGTAGGTCTGGAAGCCCATGGAGAAGCTTGAGCGGACTGAGAGGAAGAAAGCAGAGGCTCTGTTCCTCCGTTGAATGGCAAGAACACTGCCACAGTTTTTCCTCTTATCTCTTTTAGATGGGAAACCAACCCTCATTAGCCTGAGCCTCACCACTAGGATACATTCTCAAAATGC